TGACCATGCAGCAAACCTCCAGGCCTCCATTTATCTGTAAGCAAATGAGCCCACTCAGGGTATATCTGTAACCTACACATTACTGAGCACGAAGTGATTAAACAGTGCCCCTCTGAACCACTGCTGTGCTGAAAACGGAAGTTTAATGAGACATTAAGCATCCTGGAGTATTTGTACACAAAAAGGAATTGTTTCAGTGTCTACACAAATAAAAGATCAAATTTCACAACAAAAGTGTCTAATAAATACTCCCATGATCACAGTGTACAAAAAAAGGGAGATTCTATAGAGTACATAATCCCCAAAAAGACTTTATAGTTACTATTAATAGAACTTGAGAGGAAACTGACACCCTTAAAAATCTTTACATATCCTCACAAATATAAAGTTATTATAAACAACCTAATTAGCAGTATGTCATTTTATTTTTAAGTGTTATTAAGATTACTGAGAATTTCCTGATATGATAGGAATTATGTGATTGCATTTTTATGTCAAGTTATTGATCATAAAGATTCAGTGAATGACAGATTCCAAAAACAATGACACTGATCACCAATCTGGTCACTTCTCGGGTTCCATGGCTGCCTTGAAAATATACAGTCCTTCAAAAAATTAACACACACGCACATACACATCTACAGCACAGAAATTGTATATGCACTTTACTGGGACATTCTATATGGAGAGCAATTACATAAGACATGTAAACATCAGCCAATAGACATATGAGATACATTTCTATAAATATGGATTCTATTTCATGGTGCATATGGTAATAATTAAACACTTATAAATAACTAAGAATTTTGTAGTAAAAAAAATTTTTCTACATGAATGTTTCCCAAACTGTGTATTCCAATCATGTTACATTTAGTTCTGCTGAAATGTGACATATGTAATCTAAAAATCAGTGCACTATGTAAAATCATGGAAAACAGCAACTAGAGCTTATGGGGTTAGATATGCAACACTTACAAACATCTTCAGTGGCAATTTTTAAAAAGATGGAAGCCTAATAAAAACAGTAGAGCCGTATTACACATGCATAGTAGTTAAAAATACATGTTACACATGTGTAGTAGTTAAAAATATGTAAACTTACAACAGATATGGCACTTTACCTAGAAAAAGACCAGCAGTTTGCTTGAGGAAGTGAATTTCAGAAGGGTTACAATTTGTGAGTTACTGTGAAGTGGTTAGAAGCACTATCTGGAATTTCATGAGATGTTGCAACACTAAAGGTTGTGCTTCATAAACCAGTGTTTTGAAGTGTAGGTGTTTTATCACCCCTATGTGTCTCAGTTAATATGGGTGCAATTTCCCACAACCACTTATTGCTTTGCTACATGAACTGCAAAAACAAACACAAAATTTGTGTTATACTCACGATGTTCCCTGAAACATCAGTTGAGTTTGGAACAAATTTGCATTTTCAAAATCAGCTTTATAACAGAACTGAGTGTAATAGGCACTTGGAAAATTGGGAGAAGGTAAGTTATGTGTTCAAGTAAGTTTAGGAAATAACTCAGCAAAATTGAATTTTTTTCTAATAAGATATTTCAGAAACTTGGTAATGTAAATTCGGAAACTTCAGGAAGGCAGTGAGTTTGAAATATTTTCCACAATTATTTGACCTTGGAGGCTCCCCATTTAATTCTGTGGGGAAAAAAACTTTAATATCTAAAAAGTACTATTCTATGTAGCACAGTTTGATAAGTACTTGTCTTTAGTACTTTTTCATATTTACTGTTATAAAACATAAAACAAGGATTTTGCTCATAAGAGAAATATATTGTGATCCAACTCAATTTGGTGTGTATTAATAAAAAGAAATCTGCAGTAAATTTTCAAAAATACCATTAATGTGTCTAACATTGCTGACTATATTTTTCCTGGCTCATAGAGAACTATAACTATGGCAGACAATTAAAATGCCTCCTTGGAGATGATAAGCTGTTGTCTTTTCAGCATGATACAATCAAGGTTTTATAAATCTACACCAAATAATTAAATTGGAGATTCTAAATGTATATGATTTTCTGGGACTTCGGTGTTAATCATAATGTCACTAAGTAAAATCTATTTTTGTGTATAACTAAAACAGCTGTTTTCAGTCACTAATTTTACCTATTGTATATATATATATGTATATATATAGACATACACACATACACATATATATATATATATAACATAATATACCTACAAATAAATTTTCCACAATAAGGATGACTGTCCCTTAACAAATACAGGGGAAGAGGGAATACAGTAAACTCAAAGGAAAATCTCTAGTGTGCAGGTAGTCTACAGTGCAAGTCTGAGGGCAACGAAGTTGCCATGAAGGAGAATAGTTAAGAATTGAGTTTGGTAAGGAGGAAAAAAGGAGTCAGACACACTGGTAAGATTTTTGAGATTTTTGAGAAAAATGAACAAGTCAAAGATATTCTGAATTTTAAGCCCAAGCAAATGGAATCATTATGCCACCAAGAAAAGTAGGTAACACAAAGTCAGAGCTGAGTCAGGAAAAAGAGTGTATGGAGTTAACTTTCTGATGATTAAGCGATTCAATAGATCTCTTCTCTAGCACTTACTTATTAGGTATCTCACTAGTCATGCAAATCCAAAATAAGGATTTTCACATAATTTGGGTTTGTGGCTTATAAATGGCTCTATTAAAAGTTTTAAAGTCAAGGTAATAATGCTAGCTCCTATAATAGATAAAGACAAATATTGCAGCAACTTAACATAGCAATATATATATATTATATTGCTTGCCCATATCACAATTCAGTGTAGTGGGTGGGCTAGAGTGTGGGGAGACTTGGAGAGCAAGTTCTGCCCTGTGTGGTTATTCAGAGACCCAGGCTCCTCCCATGATATGGTTCTGCCACGTATAACAGGGGACTTCAAAGACATTCTGCAGTCATCTACTAATGGGAGGGAAAGTGCGTAGAACCACGAGGGAAATGGTTCATCACTTCTACCCACATGCCATTAACTAGAATGCAGTCATAAGGTCCCACCCAATTTTAGGGATGGATGGGAGATGTTAATCAAGCTCAGGATAATCCTTAGCATTATTTCCATTACACAAAGGGAAGGAGATAAAGCCCATTCCTAAATAACTGAGGACCTGAAAACAACCCTGAAATAATTCTCTAGTATTGTCCCTGTTACCAGCAGCCACAGACTCTACATTGCTAAAACCAAAAATAGTCATAGGAAGAAAAGGACACTTTATAAAATTGCATAGCCTGGAGTTCAATTAATTTAAAAATAACTTTGCCACAATCTTTCAAAATTAGCTTAAGCAGGACATCCAGAAACTTGGATAAGTCATTAGCATCCACTCTTCCTGGTGTGAACAGGTTGCCCAGGTCTGTGTGGGTTTCATTTACAAAGACTTCAATTACAGACGCAGGTTGGCTGCCTTAAAAAAACAAAAACTGAATTCCAACTCTCCACATCCTCACCAACATTTTTTACCTTTTTTTTTTTTTGATGATAGGATGAGATCATGTCCCGTTTTGGTATTGATCTGCATTCCCCTGATGATCAGTGATGTTAGGACCTTTTCACATTCCTGGTGGCCATTTGTTTATCTTCTTTGGGGAAATGTCTATTCCAGCCCTTTACCCATTTTTATGTCAGTTGTGTTTTGTTATCTGTTTTTGGCTTTTGGGTTGATGGGGGAGGGTGGTTTGTTTGTTCCTATTCAGTTGTAGGAGATTCTTACATATTTTAGAGATTAATCTCATATCAAATTAGATGGTTTTCAAATATTTTCCCCCATTCCATAGGTTATCTTTTCACTCCATTGATTGTTTCCTTTGTTATGCAGAAGCTTTTTAGTTTGATATAGTCCCACTAGCCTATTGTTGATGTTGTTACCTGTGATTTTGGCGTTATATCCAAGAAATCTTTGCCAAGCCCATTGCCAAGGAAGTGGCCCAATGGGTAAAAAGTGTCACTTATGCAAGAAGACTAAGTTCTAGAGATATACTGTGCAACATAGTACCTATTTTTAACAATATAGTATTGTGCATTAAAATATGTTAAGAAGATAGATTTCATGGTAAGTGTTCTTACCATAAAACAGAACAAAGTACACAAAATAATACAAGGAAATTTTTGAAGGTGATGAATATGTTTAGTACCTTGATGATGGTGTGCTGGGTATATGCATATGTGCAAACTCATTAAAATGTAGACAGTAAATACATGCATTCTTTGTATATCAGTTATAACTCAATAAAGCTTAAAAAACAGTACTGCCTAATTTTTGATCTTTTTTTGAGTTTAGTTAAATATATTTTACATTAATGTTTTATGATTTTTAAATATTATGAATAAAATAAAACTTCTCCAGCTATGATAACAGAAACCCTGCAATGGAGAAATATCAAATATTAATGCATAAGAAATGAACCCCTTCTTAACCCCTTTGATTAATTGTAGCTACCATATAGTTCTTCCATCGATAACACAGTCTACCTTTATTATCAAATATTCTCCCTATGTTTCAGGTATTTGAATTGAGGCATTACTGCCTGGGTTCTTAATTCAAAGAAATTAAGAGGGTAAATAAATTCAGTGTCCTGGCCAAAAAGACAGTGTAGCTATTTCAGGAACACACACGTGCATACACACACACACACACACACACACACACACACACACACCTCTCTTTAAAGCAGGAATAAACCTGGGGTGCTTCAAGATGGCTTGTGATGATTTCAGAGAATGTCCTCTAGAGACCACGTTGTTTTCCTTGAAAACTTGAAAAGGGAAATTCAGCCTCTCACATCCTGCGTGCTTCCCAATTACACAAGCTCCTGCATGTGAGTCAGTGTTGCCTTGCAATTTGTGTCTCTGGAACATCCTCGGTGTCTCACAGACTCCACTGCACGTGGATTGGTCAGGCTGAAGCAGGGGAGGAGCCACGCTGCACTTTTTTTTTTCCTCCACACACACCGTGAAAATCAGCAGCAGCCACTAACTCTCACAGCAATGCTTCAGGTTGGGGAATAACCCCTGACAGACAGCTGATGTGAGCATGTGCACACAGCTTCGGCTCCCCGTGGCACAGCAGCTACTAGGAAAACTATTTCGAAAAGACCTGAATGCATAAGACTAAAGTTAAAGTGGAAAAGAGAACAAAAAAGCAAAGAGCAGACTTTCAGCTGAGAATGAGTATTTTGAAGCCTAAGATTTTTAAGTGAGGGTGATCAGAGTACTACCTGAAAGAGACTAAACATTCCATTTCAAGCTTCGGAGCATGTGACATTCACGTACAACGGGCATGCCAATTGCAGCCTCACCAGTTTTGGACAGATAAAGACGTGGAGGAAAATCGTGGGGGCCACCTGATCCAGGAGGCTAGATCAGTTCAAAGGGGATTTGGATCCACTCGGCACAGGATGAACTCAACTCATCACCATGGAATGTACACTTCTCTCCACTTCTGGAACCGCAGCGCCTACGGACTGTACGGCAATGCCAGTGAGTCCCTGGGAAAAGGCTACTCTGACGGAGGCTGCTACGAGCAACTCTTCGTTTCTCCTGAGGTGTTTGTGACCCTGGGTGTCATCAGCTTATTGGAGAATATTCTGGTGATTGTGGCAATAGCCAAGAACAAGAACCTGCATTCACCCATGTACTTTTTCATCTGTAGCCTGGCTGTGGCTGATATGTTGGTGAGCGTGTCGAATGGATCAGAAACCATTGTCATCACCCTCCTGAACAGTACAGATACGGATGCACAGAGTTTCACAGTGAACATTGATAATGTCATCGACTCAGTGATCTGTAGCTCCTTGCTTGCGTCAATTTGCAGCCTGCTTTCGATTGCGGTGGACAGGTATTTTACTATCTTTTATGCTCTCCAGTACCACAACATCATGACGGTTAAGCGGGTTGGGATCATCATAAGTTGTATCTGGGCCGCGTGCACGCTTTCGGGCATTCTGTTCATCATTTACTCGGACAGCAGTGCTGTCATCATCTGCCTCATCACCGTGTTCTTCTCCATGCTGGCTCTCATGGCTTCTCTGTACGTGCACATGTTCCTCATGGCCAGACTTCACATTAAGAGGATCGCTGTCCTCCCAGGCACCGGCACCGTCCGCCAAGGAGCGAACATGAAGGGGGCCGTCACCTTGACCATATTGATTGGGGTCTTTGTGGTCTGCTGGGCCCCATTCTTCCTCCACTTAATATTCTACATCTCTTGTCCCCAGAATCCATACTGTGTGTGCTTCATGTCTCACTTCAATCTGTACCTCATACTGATCATGTGTAACTCCATCATCGACCCTCTAATTTATGCACTCCGGAGCCAAGAACTACGGAAAACCTTCAAAGAGATCATCTGCTGCTATCCTCTGGGAGGGCTTTGTGTTTTGTCTAGCAGATATTAAATGGGATGGAGGAGACACAAAAAACATCAATAAGAGACTTTTCCATTCTTACACAACCTGAACAGTGTGCTCCCCCAACAGCTTTCCTTCTGTGTGGGCCTTGGTTGAGAGTAGCTATTGTATACATTTAAGTTTATGATTTTTGATAAGAAGAAATGCCCAGTCTCTGTGTGTTTTGAAGGTCATGCTACTTTTTAGCTGTAAAATGTTCATCCTTATTATAGGTTGTAGGCATTATGGATTTACAAAAAATGAAAAAGAAGTCCTTATCAAAAGCTTAACAATGTTTCTTTCTTATTGTATCAGGATTTGACACTTTGCTTGTTTTAGTAACAGAAATCACAATCTCATTAAATGTATTCTAGTAAATGATTTCTTATATTACACCATACGATCTGTATTACCCTCTACAATCTGTGCATTGAAATGTAGAGATTTGGTTCTAGCATTCAGGGGGAGATATTGAAAAACAGATATTAAATCATTGTAAAAAATCAGCTGAAACTGCAAGTCGTTTAATAAAACTTATTCTCTCTGTGCCAAAGTAGAAATGAAGCTCCTGTTGAGAGAAAAACAGGTACTCAAAAAAGAAAAAAGTGAGACTTTGAGTCAGAAAATTATGTGTGTTTCTCAAAGACAGAGGGACTGATTTGTCTAAGGAAACAGTCTGATATTCCACGCAGGCAATTCCGTTGTGGGGAGAAGGGAATAGCAGCTGTGGAGATTAAAGTGTTTTGGAAAACCTAAGTTAACATGTCAAGCTGAGCTTCATGATACCAAACTATTTCCAACTATTATGAAAAAGGACAGAGAAGAAGGCCCTTCTGACCCTCCAACCAGGGATCCAGTGTCTGCTGAAATATCCAGAAAAGGTGGTGCTTCACTGAGAAATTTGGTTTCTAGTCTCTAAAGAAAGATTATGACTAATATTGAGTTCTTTCACTTTTCACATGGAAGTGGCTTGTTATTTACCTATTGCTTATTTTTTGAACTGGACTTTTAAGTACTAATTACCAAGGATTTTAATTTTAAAAACCAAGTCTACAGTACAAATATTTTCAGGCAATATTTGTAAATCTCTAACATAAGGAAACCTCTGATGCTGGTATATTACAAGCTGGAAGGGAGGTGCTACCTGAACCCCAGAGAACATCTTAACAAACATTAGTCTTCTACAACCACATTTTGGAGAGTAAATACTTGTTTTGCTCCAAAATAATCCTGAAGGTTTGGCTACTAAACAATAAAATCTGTTCTGTCCAATTGATGTGTACTTTAAAATTAAGAAAGAGAAAATATGTTAGTGTTAGGCTGAGGTTACGAGTCAACTATTCTTTATTTTATACTGTCTTCAAATGCTCATGAGCAGAGATAATGTGTAAAAGTACTTCCTAATTCAAATCTAAACACTTTGCACATTGAGAAGTCCTGAGAAACATTTTCACCATTCAGTATAATAGTGAAGGTAAACGTGGTACTGAAGCTTGATTTACTGCAATTCCTCTATTTCAATGCAAAAAATAAGTGTGAAGCTTTAAATACAGATTAATATAACAAAACCCAAAGCTGTAGCAGGGCACAGATGGCAATTTTGTCTTTACTACTATTCCTATGTTTCTTTCATGTAGGGATTGTGAGAAATCCCAGGGACTGTAAATATGGAAAAGATAACTCTAAGCCCCATCTCCTGTGGTGCCTGTCCTTCTGGTCTATTCTATTTCCCCTTCAAATGTCATCTCAGATGCTGCTTTGTCCACTGGAGCCAGCCCACTTCTCCCCCTGGAAGGAAATCTGGCTCCTTTGCCTTCACTTGCACACCTCCTCCTGGAGCAGGTTACAGTATTAGGAAGAGTGCCAGTCCTAACCCTGCCCCACCAGCCTCCCCTGTGTGCCCAGGGCACATGAGCCTTCTGTTTCTGTAAGTGTTAAGACTGTCTTAATCATTTCTCCTGTTCTCAAACTATGCCTCTATTATGTTACTCCCTCTTACTCTAATAAAACCAAGATTGTCCCAGAGGGACATGTAACTATCACCCAAAGTCCAGAGTTTACCATAGAGTTCACTCACGGTGTCGTATATTCTATGGGTTTGGACGAATGTATAATGGCATGTATCCCCCGTTACGGTATCAGAGTATCTGCACTGCCTTAAACGCCTCTGTGCTCTGCCTGTTCATCCCTCCTTCCCTCCTAACCCCCCACAGACACTGATCCTTTTCTTCTCTCTGTAGCTAAGCCCTGTCCAGAATGTCGTACAATTATACACATCATACTGCATATGACTTTCTCAAATTGGCTTTATTCACTAGGTAATATGAATTTAAGATTCCTTCATGTCTTTTCATGGCTTAGTAGTCATTTATTTTTAGTGCTGAATAATACTCCATTGTGTGAATATAACAGTTTATCCATTTACCTACCGAAGAACATCTTGGTTACTTCCAAATTTTGGCAGTTATGAATAAAGTTGCTATAAACATTTTGGTGTGGACATAAGTTTTTAACTCCCATCAAAGAGTGGGAATTAACTTTTTAAACTTCAGGACAAATGTGATGTATGTGTCTTTAATATTTTGTTAAGGGCGGTTACTATTTGAATTATGCTGGTCAGGGGTATACACTCCTGATGTGGTTTGTGAGCAGAATCAGATGCCTTTACTGAAACTTTCACCAGGAAGATCAATTAGTAAGTATAAGGTCTGTAAGAAATGATTTTTCATGGGTGGAATGAGTGATTTTCAAGACATGTTGACTTAAAATGTTATACAGCAATCACCTTAACCTGCATGAACAACATGGAAGGTTTCTGCCCACTTCACAGCTCACCTAACACATAGACTCTGTGTCTAAAGTTCCAAGTAGCCCCATGTGTTCCCTCCTGCTTCAAAAAAGTCCCTGTTGCCTGAACTAAATACTTCAAATTACTAAAAAAGTTTTGAAGAATTATTTAGTAACATGTAAATAAGTACTGAATTCTGTTTTGCTATAAGGAATACACAAAACAATATTTAGCGTAACACCAACTATCTAAAGAAAGTGCCACCAACCTACTTATATAACTGCTACATTTACTTTCCATAACTCATGAGCAATTAGCAGTCATTCCCCCTGGGTGATAATACTAACGTACTTGTTTGCTTTCTCTGTTGAGTGTGTTTATATTATGCAAATTTACAATGAACATTTTTAATGTTTTAATCTTTTAAAAGCACACTTAGACATTACAACAGAAAGATGGTTGATGGAAATGCAACTGCCATACTACCAATGATTTGCAGAGAAAGAGTAAGTGTAAAAAGAAGTTCGTTTTGAATGAGAACAGAATCATCTCATTCAACCCTCTAAGCAGACTCAGAGAGACTGCAAAATATCACATGCATAATCAGTTTCAGCATCAAAACCTAAAAACCAATTCCTGACATCCCATCCAGATGTTCCTTCACCAAATTTCAAGAACTTTTCTTCCGTAAACAAGTAATTCTCCCGTCACAGAGATCTAGGACTGAATTCTGGTGACACCACTTTATAGCTGTGAGATTTTGTTAAAGTTAGTTTTCTTATTGTTAAATGTGCATAATAATACCTGTCTAGTGGGAATCTTAAAAGGATAAAAATAAATTATAAGATTAAGGATGTAAAGTTCCACAAAACAGTGCCCAATACACATAGGCACTCAAAAATGGTAATTATTCTTATTTTTTTAAAATACAAATTAAATGAATAAACCCACACATGAAGGAAGACTAATTAATTTTGCTGCCTTTTTTACATTCTCAACACTATTAACAACACATCTAGGTCTTGGTCTTAATTACATATCTTTTCTTAATATTTAATAATTTTCTTGAATTTGACCTTTTTTGTATAAATGGATGTATTTAAACATAGTAGATATACAAGCATACCTGTATTCTACAAGGATAATTTGTTATCACAGATAATGCTAATTGTTTTAAAATTTTCAGTGCCACATTTAACACTAATTAGAAAGCCAACATGAAATAACCAATTAGCCCATTTCTCCAAAGATTAATTGATATTCATTAAACTTTATGCCATAAACTTAAGTGTTAGTACAAAAAAATCATTATCTAAGCTGAATATTAAATGGAAATATTTGAAAAAGACCAAAAATAATGAGTTTATAGTCACATCTTGATACTCAGTTATTAGTTATTAAATATTGATCAAAGCTAAGTACATGAAAGGAGAAAGAACATAGGGCTTGGACTAAGGGAATACTGAGTTCATATCTCAGATTTATCAGCTCTAGAACTTTGGGCCAGTTACTGAATTCTCCTATACATCTATAGTCCAACCTTTAAAATGAAGATAATAATAATAATAATATCTATGATCTCATCATATGATTAATGATAAATCTTAGATAATGTACAATAATCTATTGAAGAGATCTACTATAGTGTTTGTCACTATAGGTCACTATTATTATAGTGATGAATCAAATCATACTCAAAATGTTATCAGAGTTTAGATACTAGAACAGGCTAAATGGTGACATAGATAGTCTCACTTCCCTAGAGTGGAGAGACAGGAATCCACTCAAATCTGTTTTCAGTATTTCCTTTATTTCTAATAAGCAAAGCAAGTGAAATTAAATCCCTGTGTTTATTATTTTAAATATAAAGAAATTCTGAACCCTCCCCAAGAAACTCAGGGGAGGTAGCAGGTGGAATTTGGTGGGAAGGCACAGATTATTTCAATGCCTTCAGTAATGCTCTAATTCTTGTGTTAAATAATGGGTTTAAAGTACACTTTGATATATGCTTCACGACTTAAAAATATGTGACACACACTCTTTTGTATGTATTTAATATTAAATTAATAGAATGCATTTATTTCATAATGTGTTTAGTAAGAGGGAACATGCAAAGTTATTTGCATAGTACAAATAAAGGATTCTTAGCACAATTCAATGCTGCCACTTTGGGGGTGTAAAAAAAAGAAGAGCTTTCATCTATGGTAGTCATGGCTGAATTTGGCTCTGGGTCAATGAAACTAATAATCATAGCTTACAAATATTAACAGTGTTTTCACTGCTGAGACACATCTGGAGGCTCCATGAACACAGAGCCAAGTGGAAAATTTCCGCAACTCAATCAGTGAACATTCAGTTAGATTTTTTTATCAGCCTCAGCTGCAAATGAAACTATTACAGTTCGAATCTTAAACCTAACGTTCTAAACAGTGTGAGAAGTTTCACATAAACTCAAACCACCACTGAATATAATTAAAAGGTGAAAATGTAACAATACGTTTGGTCGTAATTCCACTTGAGGGGGAAAAAACCACTCAGATAAAAATTTTATTTGTAAAATGTTTGACTACTCAATTCAAAGTGTGTTTCATTTGTAATACTGAAGTTTCAAAATAGCCCCATTAAAAACAATGTATGCAGGCTTTATATAAATCTCACTATATCCTGGAGAGTTCATTAGTTCACTTAAAATAACCTTTAGTATAATATTCATATGATATTCATATTTTTACTGAGTTCTTTGATTCAAGATGAAAACAGGATAATTCCCCTTTAGAGAATTCTAAATAGAATTTTTTAGAATAATTCTTTAAAATTATTCTGTGGTTTTGTTTATATAGGATGATACACATAATGTTGAAATTTGTGCCTCAGATAAAATTTTTACCTATTAGTTATATAACTCTTAGCTATTTACTGTCAATAGTCGAAAGAAAATCTATACATTTTAACCTCTGCCCTACCTCTAATCTTCTTCTCTAAAACATCACATCTCTACCTTTTCTACATCAATGACCTATTTTCACCTAAAACTTAACAAGGCTTAAATGGAATGCTCATTGACACAAATCTGACTTCTTGTTTTTACTCTATTTACATATTCAACATTCCCCCTGGAACAGAAACTTAAAACTTTATCTTGCACTGACAAGATAAATTAAGTGAAATTAGTGAGGCTGAATAAAGATGAGGCACATAAAGCCTAAAACTTGACGCAATGTGGAGGAATGTGGGAACACTGACTCCTGCAGATGCATAAACCTTGTGCTAAATAACGTGATTGACATGACTGACTTATTTTGTTTTGGTGGTCTTTTTTGAGAAACCCACTTAAAAACCAAGCACAAAGAAGTCTGGGATACCCCGCAGACCTGATGGTCATGAGTATGCACAGAAGCAGTGGAGGACAGCCCAGGAGTGATTCTCAGCATGCCTCGAGCCTGCACTTCCTCCCAATGTCTCCTAATCTCATTCCTGTGCAGCTTTGGTCCCCAACACGAAAACCGCTCTTGTTAATGTGTCCACGTTACTTCCAATCCTAAATCCAGTGATCAGTTTTGTTCTTATTTTATTTGGACAAACACAGACTTTAATAGTTGTCACTCCCTCTTCCTTGCTGTATTTGACTCACGGATCACCAGAGTCCTTGGCTTTCCTCCCTCAAACGCGTTTTCTCAGCCTCCTCGGCAGCTCCCTCTTCTGTCTTCCTAACACTTACCAGCTGCATCCCCAGGGCTCAGAGCTTCGTACGGCTCTGTTCTCCTCCCCACCTGTCCTCATCCTTAGGTCAAGTCAGCTGGTCTCAAAGCATCACACACTATGCCTGTCCTGAAGACTACACATGTCTATCTTCAATTCACGTCACTTCAATTATTTTCTGAACATCTATCCTTGGCTTTCTAAAAGAAATTTTGTCTTTGCTCAGGCTACTATAACAAATTACCATAGACTGGGGGTGCTTAAACAGCAAACATTTGTTTCTCACAGTTCTAGAGGCTGGGGAGTCTGAGATAAGGTGCCAGCCTGTTACCTTCCTGGTGGCAAATGGCTGTGTGATTACGGGGCAGTGGTGGTGAGAAAGGCGGGCCCTCTTCCTCCTTCTTTAAGGAAACTAATCCCGTCATGAGAGCTCCAGCCTCATGATCTATTTACCTCCCAAAGGCCCCACCTCCAAATACCACCACATTAGGGCTTCAACATTTTAGGGCCACACAAACATTCAGTCCAAAGCAAATCCAAATCTTACAAGTCTATTTTGAATCCCTAGTTTTTTCAACCAAAACCTCTCTTCTCACTCTGCCCACATCTGATGATAGCAACTGGATCCTTTCAGCTGATCAGACAAAATCTCTGGAGTCACCACTAATTCCTCTGTCTTACACTCCACTTTTGATCCGTCAGGATATACTGTTGGCCCTATCATTAAACTATACCCAGTGTCTTCCCTCTAGCACTTAGAATGGAGCTCGTCTATAAGAAAAGCTCAGTAGACGTGTGATAATAGAAGGAAGCAAGGAATATGCAAAATAGAAAGAAAAAAGCTGAGACTGGCCACCCCATTAATAGTAGTAT